ACAGGATGTTTTTCCTTGTCGGACTCTCTTTCCTCAAATTCACCAGCTTTGATTCTTCAGGTACCTCCGAGTCGCAGGTTATTGTCGGTCACAACATCAAACATGCACATGCAGCTTTGACAGGCAGGTGAGGGATCAGCTTGATTTTGTGTTAAGTAAATCATGTCAGATATTCCTGCAGGAACTAATTTTTTGACTGCATCAGCACCTAATGGATTTGCTTTTAAAAGCTTTATGTAGGGCAGGAGTCTCAAAAAGAAAAAACCCACCACCATTTCCAAAAGTTACAGTCACAGCCTAGTAACTGTCTGAGGTGCCTAAGTACCTCTCCATCTGCAGCGCAGTTCTGGAGTGCAAGACAGCCACGGACCAGTTACGAAGCAAACAAGGTGCTTCACAGCACAAGAGGCTCCAGTTGACACAACAGTGTTTAGGTTTCACTTTTGCCCAATCGTTGCTCTGGGCCAGATCAGCGGGTTTTCCATTGGTTTAAACATATTTCACAAGGCTCACGAACAGGCCATCACACAGTAAGCTTTGCCACATGCTGTCAGGGCCGGGACTCCACAACGGCATTGGGTTCCTGGGCTGCGTTTACATTCATTTAAAAAGCTCCGTTCTATACCCACTGCACAGCTCAATTACTGACGTCTAATGAATTCGACAGTTTAACACACGAGCAGATTTATGACATTTAGTGTTACCGTTAACGCAGAAAGCGTTAAGTAAAGCCATATGTTGTCACCTAATGCAGAGTGCCCCTTTTTCTTGGTTATCTGGGAATATTGCAAGTTTGTTGGGGCAGAGAATCACGTCTCCTGAGCGTTTGTACTTCGTGCTTAGCAAATTATTTGTATTACAGTAGCGCTTGGGGTCCTGATCTTGGCTGAGGCCTCTAATGTGCTAGGCGCTGTACACACACAACGAGAGGCAGTTCCTGCCCCAAAGAGCTGACAATCTAAACAGAGAAGACAGACAGCGCAGGAGAGAAAACAGTGGCCCAGAAAGGTGAACTGACTGGCCCACCTTCCCACAACAGAGCAATGCCAGAGCTGGGAAAAGAACCTCGGTTCCCTGACTCCCATGGCCCACTGAGTAGACCACACTGTCACCCATGGGGCCCCAGCACCAACTGGGATCTTTGGACACTGAAATATAAATATTATTAAAGTCAACCAATACCTACGAGAATCTTGTGCTGAACTTACGGTTCTAAAGAGTATTTCATAGAAAGAGTGATTCCCTGTCCTTTGGACCAACTTTCCAGGCCCTTCCGCTGCTTGTCAGAGTAATGGAAAAGCCAGAGAGTTCTCATTTCCACAACTGAGAGGAAGCAAATAATTCAGCTGGAAAGTTATGTCGTTCCTCTTTGTTCTATAGCTGAGAAAGTCAGTGTTCAGGAAATTAACGCCTCCTACGAAAGTTAACAGAAATATCATCTGATGTTACCAAACAGGAAAGCTTCATTGTTTGGGTTGAGTCCTCAGTCTGTAGCTGGATTCCTTGGAACACTGAAAAGTCACTAATGACCTCCAAATCCTATTATGTGGAATATTAGCCTGGTACCATGCATGTGGAAATACAGTCTGAGTATGGACTTAGCACAGTCAGAGAAGTCAGACAACTTATATCTAGTACTTGCCCCCCCCCCGTGAGACCAGGTACATTAATGTTCATGACTGAGATGAGCCATCACAGCAGGAAACAAGACTAACACGAGCTCAGGCAAAAATAGTTAAGTATATATGCCTTTCACACTACAGCCGTGGTCTGGTTCCAGTTTCGTTCTTCAAAATGCTAAGACCTTGTGTTCTCTCTCCCTTATATCAATCAGAAAAGTGATAACTGAGATTTGCGAAGTCACTTTTGGCATTATCCTACTTTAAGAGCCTTCAACTGCTTATCCAAACTGTTTTTAAACAATGATCGTTGGGTTTTTGTTTTGTTTAACTTAGCTTGTAGCCTCCGAACAAGTATATAATTGAAAAGAGCAGTTCCCTGAGTTGTTCCAATCTAATGGGTAAATACTGTACATGTTTTCTAACAGGCTGCCATGGTTGCAGATTTAGAAGCTGCTATTTAAAAAAAAAAATTGTTCCAGTAGGGTTTAAAATTGAGTAAAATGATTTTGCTTGTGACTGTCACGTGATTTTTAGAAATTCATGCCCAATGAGCAACTATTATGCATTACATATGCCCTACTAGGCAGGTACTTTCTAAATATACATGCCCCAAAGGAGGAGATGCCGGAGGCATGCCACTTTCAAATACAGATCTCAAGCCATGCGGCCTATGGAGAAGTGAAACAAGAATTAATATTTTAACTTTAAATCACTCACTTCCTTGAAAAGAAGTGTTTCCAGTCAGTGACTACATATGACTGACTGACAATACAATAAATATCTTGGCGTTTTAATCTTATTTTATCCTGACAACTTGATTTATTTGGAATTAGGTTAGGATAGAATATAATTTATTCATTTAAATCACAATGGAAATGTGTTACCATTCAATTCAACCACGTTATATGCCTAAAAATGCACACACTTACCCAATTTAAATTGATAATATCCAGCAAATATTTAGATTATATGAACCTACTGTTACTCTGGAGTGTACAGGAGAGATTAATGTATGCTGCCGTTGAATTGAGAACTAGTCACTACTACGCTCAGGGAAAACTAGACTATGGTTATCAGGATAATAAAAGTGGGGATACCAGCTTCACTTTTAAATGATTAATACTACTTCCCTGTACAAAGGCCGCCATGATTTCTCCATAGATGGTCTAGTGTTTGCAGTGCTTGGTACATACCTGTAGAGCAGTGGTTCCCAAACTGGGGTTTGTGAACCCTGGAGGTTCGCGAAATGTTAGAGGGGGTTCTTGGGAAAAAAATTCCTAATGGCGGCCAGAGCTGTCCCTAGGGACCCCAGGCAGCACTGGGCCAGAAGCCCGGAGCCCCTGGACTTCCAAGAATTAAGCAGATCAAAGCAAGCATTTCTATCACACCGAGGAGATTTAAACTTCAAAACTCTTTATAAGAAATGAAAAGGGAGGTGGATATATTTTGTTGTTTTTAAAATTAAATAGGCAGCTAGTATTGTTTTTAAAATGATTATCAAGAACAAGTTTAAGCTTTGTTGTAACGTGCGGTGTTTGCCTGGACTGCTCAAGATCCGAATGCTTGTGTAGGAGGAACTCTGAGTTGGCTTCTTAAATCCCTTCATGCTGTTTCACATCTGATACTCCTCGATGAAACATAGGAGCCTTGTCTTACAACAGACTTATTCAAAGTGATACAAGCTACGAAAGTGAGATCTTGGAAGAGTGTTGCCATTTTCATAATGTAATAAAAATACTGTAATGATAAATAATAATTAATAATAAATAGCGTGTAATAAGCATGTCATAAAAAATTTTATATTTCCAAGATCACTGCTTTTATAATTTATACTCGGGTAAAGGACAAAATCCCTGGAAATATTCATTTTTAGGAGGGGGGGTCGCAAGACCTGACATTTTAGTGAAAGGGGTTCACAGGTTGTTAACGTTTGGGAACCACTGCTGTAGAGAAATACTACCCGAAGAAAGCAAAATATTTACAGTTGAGCCTCAAGCACGGAAGTCTGTTTCAGTATTGTGCCTTCTATTGCACAAACCACCAATAGATATGGCGTAATCAATGGGACTTTACTCAACCTTAATCTCTGCTTCACCTTTGCCACTGAACTTCCCCCTCCCATTCATTTACAGGCATTTCTATGGTGCTCATCACCATAGTATCTAGTGTCTATTTACATTTCAACATAAGTGACTAAAAGCAACCCTTCCATAATGTTCATATCAGTCAGTGACAGACATATGGAGCTAACCTCACGTGCTGAATCACATCTTGGTCAGGTATTCTTATATTCTAGAACCTACACCAGAAGCAAGCAGTGACCAGCAAAATAATTCAGTTGTATGGAAGAGAATCCCTATATTCTTAATATATATATTTATTTTTTAAAGCCTTTCCAAACATTGGGCATAAGTTTCCATTAAATAGTCTCTAAAGCAATCTCACTACCATTTGCCTTACTCTTAAAATCAACTTTTGTAATTTGTTCAGTATGACTGGCTACAGACAGCGTACATGCAAAAGGAGGAAGGTGATGTATACTGCTTTCCCTATGAACAGCTGTCAAAAAGTTATGTAGTAAGCACCCATAACTTAAATCACAAAATTATTTCCACAGAGCATCTTCAGGAAAAATGCAAATGATTGAAGCCAAGAAATCTCCTGATTCTAGCACATAAATCACTTTTCAGATCTGAAGACAAAATAATGAGATGGGTTGAAAATCAGGCAAAGTAGGTCACAGCGAAACCTGTAAAAAGCTTCACTTGCTTTCTGATGTTTGATGCCTGGGTGACACAAAATCACAGACAGGAATAGAACAGATGGTGATGTGTCCTCAGCACTCCTAGCAACCTTGCTAACATCTCCAGCTCTGAGTGCCAGCACCAAGTGGCTGGCGTTAAACTCCTGTATTGTAGTTCTTTTTCTCTTTTCCAAATCTTATTTCCTGCAACGCTGAGATTAAAAAAATCTCTCTCCCTTTACTGACCTGGACACCTCTCCTTTCTCTCTTTCTTCCCCCCTCTGACACATGATGGCCTCAGATCTTGCTCTTTGATTTGGTCAGAGAAAGCAGTTGAGTCACCCTCACCACATGGCAAGTCGGAGCCCAGCGGTGCCCAGGCTTCTGACCAAGAGACAACCTGCCCCCCTAGCTGGTCTCCCCTCAAGCGCTTCGCACCCTGCGTCTCAAGGATTCCCCGCGGGCGTGTGCAGAACCGGTGTCACTTCAGCTCCCGCAGACCGGGCAGCTGTACTGCCCCAAACCAGGGTCACAGCCCTGCCAAGCCCCGAGCTTGGGCACCGCTTGCCTGTCTGCCCCGAGACCCAGCGCGTCCCACGGCAAACCCAGTACCCCATGCCCGGCGGCGCTCTCACCTTCTCCGGCTTGGCGGAAGGGACGCTGCTCTCCGGCGGCTCCGGGCACTTGCCCACCTTCTTGCCGGCGCCGCCGGGCGGGCTCCAGGTGATGGCCGGGGCGGCGGCGCCCTTGCAGCCCCCCGCGCCCTCGCAGCCGCTGTCGATCTTGATGAGCCGGTGCTTGGGGGAGAGGTAGCGGCCGTCGGGCGGGGTGGGCGGCCGGCGCTCGCTCTGGCTGCGGAAGAGGTGCGGCGAGCCGGCGGCCGAGGGGGGCTTGGCGGCCGGCTCCTCGGGCGCGCAGGGCTCCGGGCGGCACAGGGCGCGCAGCTTGCGCAGGGACGAGCCGGGCCCGCTGTAGGGGTCCTCGAAGTCGCGCTCCTTCTGGGCGCGGTAGGCGCGCAGCAGCTCGCCGGGGTCGTCGCACAGGTGGCGGGGCGCCAGGCGGGGCGAGGTGTGGCGGTGCGCGGCCAGCAGCTCGGCCCCGGGGCGCCGGTCCCGGTAGTCGGGCCGCGGCGGCTGCGGGGGACTCTTGGCCTTGTTGTTGCCCAGGCTGAAGTACTTGGTCAGCCACTTGGCCATGGTCCGGCGCTAGGGCGCAGCGCCCATGGGGAGGGCGCACGGGGGGCCGGGCCGGGGCGCTGCCCGGCGCTCAGGGGCGCTGCCCACCGCCGCGCC